CACCGACCCCAAGGTGATCCAACTCGCCACCTCGCTGCAGTACCAAGCCGCGACGGGTCCCCCGGCCCTGTCCCTCTTCCTTCGCCAGTACGTCGAGAAGATCTACAAGCCCGCGTACGCGGACTGGGACGTGCTCCTCAACGTCGGCGCTACCGACGGGTGGAACAAGATCTGCGGTCTGCTCATGGAACAAGGCGACGCCGTGCTCGTCGAGGAGTGGACGTACCCTGGCGCGGAGAACGCGTTTATCCCCATGGAAGTGGAGATGGTCGCGATCAAGATGGACGGGCAGGGCGTGTTGCCCGAGCACATGGACGAGGTGCTCGGCACGTGGGACGAGGAGAAGAGGGGGAAGAAGCGCCCCCACGTGTTTTACACCATCCCAACCGGTCAGAACCCCACCGGCGCGACGATGATGGGCGAGCGCAAAAAGGCAATCTACGAGATTTGCAAAAAGTACGACGTCATCATCTGCGAGGACGAGCCGTACTACTGCCTCTTCTCTGGCGAGTGGACGCCAAAGTCGCACAAGTCGCACAAGTCGGTCGTCGCGGAGAGGGCCATCGAGGCGGAGAAGAAGGAGGGCAAAGACGGCAACGAGGCGTTCATCGCGGCGCTGCCCCCGACGTATCTCACGTACGACACGGACGGTCGCGTCATTCGCATGGACGTGAGTGGGTCGTTTGGTCATGGCTGATGTCCAGACCTTCTCCAAGACGTCGTGTCCCGGATCCCGCCTCGGGTGGTTCACCTCGTCTCCGCTTTTCATCGAGCGTCTCACCCGCGCCACCGAGGCCGGCACCCAGGCTCCCTCCGGCTTCGCCACGGCGCTCACCACGACGCTCCTCCAGACGTGGGGCTTTGACGGGTACGTCCGCTGGCTCCGGGGCATCAAGGCGACGTACCGCATGCGCAAGACCTGGATCTGCGACACGTTCGAGGACGTCTTCCACCTCGAGTTTGAGGAGGCCGGGTCTCTCGTCTCGAACCCGTCCGTCCTCGACGTGGGCATGAACCTGGGCAAGGGCGTCACGTGCTACGCCAAGCCCAAGACCGGCACCGTCGAGGCGAAATGGGATGAGAAGCGCGGTCTCACCTCGAAGCGAGGGCCAGCGCTGGTCTCGTTCATCCCTCCGACGGGTGAGTCCAGCGATATGAGACGCGCGCTCACGTCGCAGCCGGCATGTTCATCTTCCTCGGCGTGCACATCAGCGAGCACCCAGACTACCCCGCGCTCGTCCGCAAGGGCGAGGACGCCAAGGCGATCCTTATGGACAAGCTCTGGCGCGAACTCGCCGAGAACCTGGTGAGTCGGCGTGGGCGCGGAGTCGGCGTGATGCGTTGCGTCGTCCCGTGCTGACCTCGTAGGTCCTCTTTGCGCCCGGATTCGGCTTCGACGCGAAGGGCCCCCACGCCATCGGAGGCGAAGGCATGGGCTACTTCCGCCTCTCCTTCTCCATCGCGACGTACGAGCAGACCCGCACGGCCATCGAGACGTTTGCAAAGGTGCTGTACAAGTTTTACCGCATCTGAGCGGGGTGTGAGTGTAGCAGGTAGCAGGGTTCGGGACAGGTCGATCCAGAGGTCACCAAGGGGTTCGATCAGGTTGATCAAAGGTCTCCCGCGGGGAAATCGCCAAGTAGACGTGTTACTAGATTGTTGTGCCAGTGAAAAGCTATATAAGATATGGATGAGCCAGATATCGTATGCATGCGCGCGTTCCGTCGGCGTGGGTTGATGTGACCGAATCATAAGGTTGGTGATACGGTATTGTACACTGGCCATAGCGGTGTGAGAGGCGCACGGGCCGCTTGGTCCCTTTGGGCCAACGCAAACCCCGTTTTCCCTCTCTTCCTCTCTTCGCTTTTCCTCCTCTCTTCATCCTTCCCTCTCACTTCTCTCCGTTACCTTCTTGCTCATACTCACACACCCCACTCACACTCACACCCCTACCGCTACTCACTTGTTCCGTTTCCTCCCCGTGGCCCTGGTTCCCAGATACTTCGCGCCGCTCAAATCCAGTCGCAGTGCCTCGCGCTGACTGGGTCTTCCTCCTCATTGGGTGGCGAAACTCCTCTTCATACCTGTCCTCGCTGGCTCC